TATTTTTTGTTATTTGGTGTTTAAATTTTCCCAATCCTCTAGCTTACAACATATTGTAAGTTGTTTTCTTTAAGTCTGTTACTTTCCTTAACTACTTCCCTAGTTAATCATTGTTGCCTTATCCCTTTCCTAGAACCCTCCTTTCTCATGAGGATATTATCTTTGTGGTGAGCCATGAACTATTTTCTTAAATATCTGCCATTTTCCTCAACCATCTTTGCTACTAAACCCCTTTCACGGTCCGTACCAATTAACTCTGCCCTCATTCCTTTATAATTAAAGTTTGGCACAGTTGTTTCTAACACAGGTTTCTCTCCCTCAAACTAAATGCTAAATTCTGTTGTATTATCACTGTTTCAGTGGGACTCTGTTACTCTAAGCTGCAGCCTGCAACACTGCACATTACCAGATCCAAAATTGACTAGCCCCTGGTTGGACCCATAACATTGTTCTGGGAAACTATTCCAAATACACTCTGATGTAGCCATGAAGAAGAATTCAATGTAGTGATTGGATTCAGGGCTATGTGGATCTCATTGACGGAGATCCTTGATTGGGGTTGATAACCTGGCCCAATCAAGGAACCCTGACTGACAGATATGAGGAGATTCAGAAGATCTCCTCAGTCTAGGGACTGACTTTGAGCTGGCTGGTCAGAGCCCATGTATTGTGCACATGTAATTAAAGGGTGACTTGGTGATAGGATACTGGCCTCTGTGTAGTTTTTTTAGTCTGCCAATCTGATTTTTCCCAATTTACATGAGGATAAAAGTCACCCATGATTAATATACTGGCTTTATGATATGACCTCGTTGCTTCCTGTTTTATTCTCCATCTTACCATACTGCCAGTGTTAGGGGCCTATAGATGGCTGTTATCACTGTCATCTTCTCCACATTATTTCTTACATCCATCCATTCAACATCTACATCTTATGATCTCAGATCATTTCTTGCAGTTGTACTCTGTTCCATCTTGGTCTAGCACCAATCTTTGAGCTGTGCATTTAACTTCTTGACTTTATTTACCCTGTCCCAGTTTGCCTGTTGTTCAGGTAGTAATCCAGAGATTATTAACGTGGAGGTTCTGCTCTTCTAATTTAGCTCTAAACTGTTCCAGTTCTTTTAGCAGAATTGCCTTTTCTAGTCCTGTCAATGTCATTGGTAGCAACTGGATTCTCCATCCTACATCAACATCTTCTCCAAGCCTAAAGAAATGTCCTTAACTCTGGCAAAAGGCTTCGGACCGCATGCTCGCAGTTGCAGAGAACAATATCTATCCTGCTTGTTATATTTTCCCATACCATTACGACATTCCTTGATGCAATCCCCAGCCTTGTCTGCACCACTTGCCAGAACCTCATAATTTATTTCTGGCTTCCAGCATCTACAGTTTTTTTTTATGTTTATCATATTGTGTTAACTAATTTTGCATTTCTAATCTCCTCTTCCTTTTACCAACCTTATTCCTCCGAGCTCTTTTGGGACACTGACATTTGTACAGTATGGGCGTAGGTGAATCGTTCTTGTCTTCTGTCCTCTGAATTTAATTTTTAAGTGCATTGTTACAAATTCAGTCGATGTGAAAGTGTTTCTTCAGACAAATGTTTGATCAAACATGTACTGGGTTTATTGAAATGAAAAATATGCCTAACTGATGAACTGACACATGGTTCACTTGAAGGACCTGTTCATAACTCTTTGACTTTTGTGCATTTCTGCAACCGATGTAATTCAAAGAACGCTAAAAGCAAAATTGCCATAACACATTGCAACACCCCAGAACTGCACAAAGCCGAAGAAGATCACCTCTACAGCATCTTTAAAAACAACGGCTACCCAAAAAGCGTAGTCAGCCAGTACTCACTCAACAGACGACAGCAGGAAGACACAGCATGTCCAAATACACTAGCCATCCTGCCATACATCAAGAATGTATCAGAGATGACGCCCACCAGACTACTACGACCACTAAGGATTGTGGTAACACAAACCCACAGCTACATTACGACAATTACTGACAAGAACAAAGGATCCCATACCCACAACTAACAGGACCAACATTATTTATAAAATCCTATGTAAGGACTGCCACGTACGCTACATTGGACAGACTGGGAGAAAACTAGCCATCAGGGTACATGAGCACCAATTAGCTACCAAGAGACACGACCAACTATCACTCGTTTCCGTACACTTGGACAAAGAAGGCCAGCAATTTGACTGGGACAGCGTAACCATCCTAGGACAGGCCAGTCAAAGACATGCATGGGAATTCCTAGAGGTCTGGTACTCAACCTAGAACTCCATCAACAAACATGTGGAAATAGACCCAATATACTAACCACTACGAAGCAAAACCAGAAATGAGGCCAACCACCACATCAAACCGGACCACATAAATAACAAGCCGGACTGACGAACAGCTCTTCATCGGAGGCACACTGATGATGTTACCTAGTATGGTGATAAAACGTCAGCAAACCAACCTACCTGCTTGGCAAACAAATCAACAACCCCCTTAATACAGTATTCTTCCTTTTGATGAGTATTGGTTATTTAGTTTCTATAATACGCATTTTATATTTCATCAGGGCAGAGAGCCTGTTGCTGACTTATATACGGAGTTCAGGCTTTCTTTTATTTTCCAAGGTAAGTTATAGGGGCTGATATGTTGGTGAGTTACTGAACCTGTATTCATTTTATGCTGTTAGCACCGTCCTATGAGGGTGAGTTCTACAGTTTGTCTGATGATTAATCTTCTCCATTATTTGACATTTAAAGTTTTGAATGAGTGAATGATGTTCTGTGGGTGGTGATATAGACTGCGTCACTTTGTGGGTGGATGGGTAAGTGTATTCAGAAAGAACAGGCAATGCTAAATACAAAAATAGTTTTCTATTTGAGCTCTTTCTTTAAAAAAAAAATCAAATTTGGCAATGTCTGGTTTTTAACGAAATCAGCATTGGTGTCTGCTTTTACAACATTGTAAAACAGTTCTTTCCCTCCAGTCTGAGGAAGTATGAAAAGTCAGTGATCTAGATCATTGACATATCCTGTGGGTGGTTGGGTGTTTCCTATAGCATGCGGCTTTTTGATGGAAGTTAAAGTTGTTCATTTATTGAGATCAACAACCTAACTATTTGATGGGGTCAAGAGACTTTGGGGGAATAAAGGGGACATTGTAAAGGGAGTGCTGTGTAGCTTTCTACCGTGTCTACCCAAACTTAAGTCTGTAGTCTAAAGTAAACGTCATGTTCCTACTTTTTTTATTGGCAGTCTGTGTCTCATTTAATTTAATCTTCCTGTCTTTTTTTTTTGACATACTCAAATAAATTCAACAATGGTTTAAGTTCATTCTTTGCACATTGTTGAGGTTGACTTCCGGGCAGGTGGAGGATATTCCATCACCCTCTTGGCATATGATTTATAGGAAATAAAGCAGTGCAAAGGCTTTTCATAATTATTACCACGGTTGCCATGAACAAATACATCTGCAATAGGTAGATTTGTGGGGATGAAATTAAAGCAGGGTTTTCCCTCTTCTTGGTTCCTTCACTACCCACTTCAGACTCAGTCTGGCAGTTATGCCCTTTAGGACTCATCAACTCAGTCAGTAATAGCACTGTTCAAGCACTTTTAGTGATGGATATTAGACTTCCTCAGCCAGAGTACATTCTGTGTCCTTGGCACCCTCAAAGCTTCTTGCAATTGGTGTTTAACATAAGGGAGTAGTGAGGACTCCCAGTTTTGGTGCAAGTCCCCAGAGGTTAGTGAGGAGGACGTTGCAAGATAGATTGGTCTGGATGTGCCTTTGGCATTTCTTTTGCCTGGGTCAATACTGGAGAGGCTGTCCAGTTTTATTCTTTTGACTTTCTTGCAGCAGTTTGATATTCTTGAAGCTGTCTCAGTAGGCACTAAGGGGTCGACTATATGCTGTGAATCTGCAGTTGTGTGTTGGTTGACAGATTTCCTTCCCTCAAGGACATTTGTGAATCCGAATGATTTTTACAATAATCTGTTAATTTCATGATCGCCATTTCTAAAACTACTGTCTGACCTTTTAACTTTGGATTTATGACTTAATTGAATTAAATTCCACTAACTGCCAAGGCTGTAGTGAAATTTGGAGCCAAATGATCCTCGCAGAACTTAAACTGAACATCAGTGTGCAAGATAATGGTGCGTAGGCACTGCTTGATATCACTGTCTACAGTTCCTTCTGTCATTTTGACTGTGAATAGACTGACAGGATAATAACTGACCTGAATTATATTTTTCCTCTTTCTGTGGACGGGACATTCTTAGGCATTTTTTTGTTCAGTGGGTCTCCATTTATAACTGCTGTTTTCCTATATATTTCTGTAGCTTTGCTTGTTAGTAGTCTTTTTCATAATTGCTCGTGTTATAGATGAATTTGTTCAAATTGGATGATTTGCCTTCCCCCCCCCCCGCCCCCCCCAAAGTTAAAAGAAGCTTATAATTGCCTGAGAGATTTGTGTATTTGATTTATTTTAATAAATCTTTGCTTCTTCAAATGGGTGAAACTAAGTTTTAGTATTGTGTAAGCAGATGGGAAGGATGTTTAATTTTACATTGAACACTGTTCCTCCAGCTCAACCATCAGCCAAGAAAATGCTTCAAACCACAGCACTAAATAATTCAGATTTTCAGATCTGGCATCTATAACATGTTAAGATTTTGTGCTTCCCTGTGGCCTTGTAATGCAGCATATTGCCACCATCAAGTGCTTACATTCATAATATCCTGCAACGTTTATGCTCTTGACATCAGGATCATTGTAGGCAGGAGTAGATCAGAGACCAGTGCTTTCCTTTAGGTTTTGGGGTGTGGAGTACCTAGGTCTGGGAGCTAATTATGGTCTGTCATATTTGTACGTAATTAGTATCAAAATAAATAAGTGTTAATTTTTAAATGAAAAGAGCTATGTGTGCACCTTCAACTGATTTTCAATGATTTTCTTTTCCATTTTTGCAGGAGCTGTTGGGGCTCAGCCCCTTTTTACGGTGCCAAGGCGACCAGGATGTGGCACCATGGGAAAACCGATTAAACTGCTGGCCAACTGCTTCCAAGTAGATATCCCAAAGATTGACGTCTACCTCTATGAGGTAGATATTAAACCAGATAAATGTCCTCGCAGGGTAAACAGGTGCGTATAGAGGAGGAGAGAAGTCCTGAGGTGGAAAATAAGGAGTGTCAGAGTACTATGGTACTTGTGTACACACTTTTTACTTACTTGGAGTATCAAACAAACTTGAATATGTCTCACAGAATCTTGTGTGAAGTGCACTGCTGGGTTGGCTTCACAGTGCAGAAGACTGAAGTATCATTGACATTGGCATTTAAGTAATACGTCACTGACCAATTAAAAAAAAGACATTTTTAGTACATAAATACAATAATTCAATGACAAAATTTGCATTAGGATGTGAGCAACAGGAAAAGTTTACATACGTCTTAAAAGATCTTTATGACATTCTAAATTTATGGTTTATTTTACATCTCATACAAGCTTAATAAGTACTACAGAATTGTGGACTTGTTTGGTGTTGTAGATAATCAGTATGAAACATCAATCTGCCTGGTGAGTGGACCATTCCTATTCTTTGCTCTGCCCCAAGATTAAGATCACAAATGAGCACTTAAAGAAATCAAATTTATAAACCTATGTCCTACCAATCTATGATGCATTATATCAGATTATCCAGATTTACCGCAGTGCCACTGGTATTTACATTTAATAACCTACCTTCTGCATCCTCCAGCTGTTCTATGTTGCAGAATTATTTTTAAAAGTCTTTACTGATAGATTTCAGAGCAAGTCAAAAAATTGTTTGAATTTCTATCTGGCACATTAGCCACTGAGAAAAAATACATGTAATAACATGATTTACTATTGAAAAAATATTAAATTTGACCTGAAGGCAGCTAGTATTTAAAATATTTGCTGTATAATGAAATATTTCCAATACCTACTATGTCACTTGGATTTTTATTTAATTTGGTAAAGAAATGGAAGTTAGGATCACAGGAAGTTTCAGTTTAATAAGTTTTAACAGCACTTGAACAGTGTTTATCCAAATCAGTGGAGGATTAGTGAGAGTATTTCATAATTGAGTGCACCGTAAATCAGTTTGTGGATTATTAAATTAATGAAAACCCATTTGCAATTCAGAGGCAATTGAATAGCTTAGAATGGCATGACAGTAATCTCTGGGAATCCTAAATGACACTTTGATTCATTCAAGCAGTTATATAACAGTCATATGGACCCTAAAACTAGGTTGCAGCATTAAATAGTTTGAAGGTGTTTATTATTTTTATAATACACACATTATGAAGTTTGTAGTTGCTTCCAGTTTTGGGAAATTGCAGTCCTAATAGTTGGGTAGGTCCCAACAGCTCACAAAGTCTATTTGCAAGAGTTAATCAATCGCTGGTGGTGGCTGCAGGACTGTATTGATCATAGTCTGATGGTAAATGTCATTACCGTCGCAGCAACTCCGAGCACTCAGTAAACTATATGCAAGTCAAATAAGCAATTTAGTGCCTGCAGTATAATTTATGTCTTGGAGGCATGTTAAATTCTGAATAGTGCAGACATCTGTTAATTTCTAATAATGAATTATATTTCAGTACCAAATTAACATATAGGATTTTACTGAAGAATGTTGGAATTCTGGTGCCCATCTCGGAAGTCTTTAGTGAAAGTTTTTAATGACAGTATAACTTATTCAACAACTGCTCCCAACATTCCTAATCTTTGATAACTTCTAATGAATTGCTATCAGTAATTCAGAAAGCATCCTAGATATGAATTAAATGAAACTTAGCTTTAGAGGAGGTGGTGTAGTGGTAATGTCACTGGACAGCAATCCAGAACCTAGGTTACTGTTCTGGGGGACATGGATTTTAATCCCACAATGGTGAAAATGAATTCAATAAAAATTGGAATACGACAAAAGCCTAATGTTGACCAGGAAGCTACTTTTGATTGTTGCAAAAACCCATCTTAGTGAACCATGGGTTCCTTTGGGGGAGGAAATCTGCTGTCCTCAGCTGGCCTGTTCATTATGTTACTCCAGACCCAACGGTAATGTTGTTGACTCTTAACTGCCCTCTGGGCAATTAGGAATGGCAATAAATGCTGACCTAGCCAGTGATGCTCATATCCCGTTGACTTTGGACTGAAGTTTTTACATCTTATATCTGTATAAGATGAATAAGTAAAACCTGATTTTGGACAGAGTTAGTTTTAATGAGAGTTTGTGCTTATGCTAATTTTTTTACAATTTATTATTTAGATGTATAACAGCAAATTAAATTCATGACTGCAACACATGAATAACCATAGGCCCTCAATTTATACAGAGGGAGTACATTTGTACTCCTCATTGTAACATTCTGTTACTGCAGCAGAGAATTCCGGCCTTCAGCAGAGTTAATCGTGCTCTGTAATATCAGAGCAGATTGGAGTTGCTAGATGAATTAAAGAGATTAAGAAATCTGGAGCAAAGTTGAACATATAGGCTGAGGGATTACCTTTATAGAGGTTTATAAAATCATGAGAGGCATGGATAAGGTGAATAGCCATGGCCTTTTTCCAAGGTGGGGAAGTCCAAAACTAGAGGGCAATGGTTTAATGTGAGAGGGACAAGATTTAAAAAGGACCAGAGGGGTAACATTTTCATGCAGAGTTGGTGCGTGTATGGCATGAACTGCCAGAGGAAGTGGTGGAGGCAGGTACAATTAGAACATTTAAAAGGCGTCTGGATGGATATATGAATAGGAAGGATTTAGAGGAATATGTGCCAAATGCTGGCAAATTGCAATAGCTCATATTTGGGATGTCTGGTCGACACGGACGAGTAGGACCAAAGGGTCTGTTTACATGCTGTAAGACTCTATGAAGTTTTCTGTTGCAAATCTATGATTTGGTAGAACAAGTTCAAGAGGTTAATCAGCATCACTGTTCAGCCAATCAGAAGAATCTTCACTCAGACTCACTGTACACCAGGAGGTATTTAACAATTGCTCGTTAATACATAGAAAGTACATGAGAGGCAAAGAAAAATGTTTCACACCCAGGCACAGTAAGTATTCTTTTTGATGCTGCTTCCATTAGTTTGGTAAATGATTGTGTTCCATAGTGTTAAACATCACCAGGTATGGCCCTGAAGCCTGACTTAGGGGTGCCAATATCTTGTCAATTTTATTGCAAAAGAACATGTTGAATGCAGGATTTGGTGGCCCCCGTTTCTTCTGAATCCTCTTCTTGGCCAACTGAATTTATTATTTCTGATTGCCTTTCCTAATGCCCATCCAAACAGCCTCCACAAGTCACAGCCATTAATGGCTGTCTCCAAGTCCACCGACTTCATGTCTTGCTTGGCAGGAGTCCTAGTATCAGAGATATGGATGCCCTTGACTCTGGTCATGACTCAGCGGCCATTTGATCAGAACGAAGGTGCTTGAATATGGAGCTGTCATCCATCCATTGCTGTACCAATGCATACATCATGACTTCACTGTGACTAACATGGCAGCATTCAGTTTGAAAGTGTGAAACGTGATTTGGAAATAACTTTCCTCAACTTGGGTAATTACATATGGTTGGGGATAGAGTTGGCTAGCATGGATTGGGAATGAAGTTTAACAGAAAAAGTGGTTGAGAAACTATAGCAAATGTTTAAGAAAATAATTCATGATTCGCAGCAAAGGTGTGTGTTGGTGAGGAAGAATGATTCTGGAAATGGGTTAAACTCACCATGGTTAGTTGGGAAGTTCAGAATAGTGTAAAATTAAAAGGGGGGAAAAAAAAGTGTATCAAAGATTAATGGTGAACCAGATGATTGGACAAGCTTTAAAAGCCAACAAGAGATGACCAAAAAGGAATAAAGAGGGGAAAAAATAAACTGAGCATAAACTATCAAGTAATATAAAAAATGACAACAAGAGCTTCTTTAAATATATAGAAAGGAAGAGCAGCCTCTGTAAATGAGACTGGGGAAATAAAGTGGGGTGGGGGTGGAGAAGTAAACAAAATAACTATCACCAGAGGGGATAAATATGTACCAGTCAACCTAATGGAGATAAGTCCTCTGGATCTAAAGGTTGCATTCAACATTTTTAAAGGAAGTGTCTCCTGAGACAGTGGATGCACTAATCATAATCTTCCAAGAATCTTTTACATTCTGAAAAAGTTCAAGAGGGTTGGAAAACTGGCAGTACAATAACCCTATTCAAAAAGGGAGGACTCTTTAGGCCAGTTAGCTTGACATCAGTCACTGAGAAAATGCTAGTCTATTAGTAAGGATGTAATAGCATTTAGAAATACAACATGAAATCAAGCAGAGTCAAATTATGCCTGACAAATTTATTAGAGTTCTTTGAATAAATAAAAGATAAAATAGAGGATAGATAAAGGGAAATGAGTGGGGATAATATATCTGAATTTCCAAAAGATGCTTGCTGAGGTACTGTACATAAGGCTGCTTAATAAAATCAAAGCACGTGAGTTGGGGTTAATATATTAGCATTGAAAGAGAGTCTGTTAACTAATGGAAGACCAAGTGTGGGATAAGGAGGACATTTTCAGGCTGGCAACCCATAACTAGTGGAGTGCCACAGGGAATAGTGCTGGGCTGCAATTATTTACAATATATGTTGATGACTTGGATGAGACAAGTGAGTATACTGTTGCCAAGTTTGCAGACAAAAGTAGGTGGGAAGGCAAGTCGTGAGGATATCTGAACATCTATAGAGGGACCTGGATTTAAAGACTGAGTGAACATGGCAGATAAGACATAATATGGGAAAACAAAGTTATACACTTTGGCAGGAAGAATAGAAGAGCTAAATATTAAATGAAGAAAAACTTGAAGTTGCAGCACAGAGGGATTTTGGAGTCCTTGTACATGAATCAGAAATAAGTTAGCATTCAAGTTCAGCAGGTAATAGGGAAGGTATTTGGATTGTTAGCCTTTATTTCAATGGGAATGGAGCATAAAAATAAGGTGGTCTTGCTAAAACCAGCTACTCGTCAGACTGCAAATAGTTTTGATCTCTTTATTTATGAAAATATATACTAACTTTGGGGGCATTCCAGAGAAGGTTCACTAGGTTGATTCTGGGTATGAAGCTATTTTCTTCTGAGGGGAGGCTTAATAAATTGGGGTTGTAATTATTAGAGTTTAGATGAATGAGCGATGACCTTATTGAAACATACAAGATTCTTAGGGGTCTTGACTGGGTAGATGTGGAGATGTTCCTCCACAAAAGGCAATGTTTAAAACAGATGAAGAGGAATTTCTTCTAAGGGCAGTCAGTCTGTGGAATTCCTTACTGCAGAGACCGGTCAAGGCTGGGTCATCAAGTTATTCAAGGCTGAGGCAGATTTTTAATCAGAGAGGGATTTGAAGGTTATGGGAAAAAGGTAGGAAAGTAGGGTTGAGAGTTAGCAGATCAATCATGATCTGTTGAATGAAGTAGTGAATTTCATGGGCCAAATGGCCGCCTCCTCCTATGTCTTATCTATGCCCCATGATCATCAGCAATATGTGAAGCTATTAACATCCTTCAACATCATATTGTCACTGCTGATAAGTAACAGTATGGCAACAACCTGGACCATGACATTTGTTTTCCTGACATATTCTTTAGAAGTGTGGGAGAGTGTTCATTTACTGCTGAAGGTGTTCCTCAGTACAGAATGCTAGTGAGGAACAGTTTCCATTCATTCTGGAATGTAGGTGAACTAAAGTCATATTGATAGCAGCAAAGCAAAGAACATGGCAACATCAATGCCAAAACACATTTGAACCCACTGCGAATCTCAAAATGTCCAGATGTTGCCCCATCTTATCTGACCTTGCCCATCACCTTGTCATAGAAAGAGATCACAATGAGCAATTTTGGAGGGCAGCCATTCTTCTGCAGCAGTTTAAATATGCTGCCTCTGCTCACAGGGGAATATTTGGTGGTCCCAGCATTTCTCTTGCAGCTGCCAGACTGAGAAAATCATGTCAGGTTGAGATCTTTCAGTTCTGATACCAGACTGAGATTCAATGAAATTACTGGTACTCATTAACCATGCCATCATGAACCATAGTCATTTGGCGTGAAATGCCAGGAAGTAATTGCCTGTAGAAATATGATTATACTGACATAAATATGAGTTGCTCCTTCAGATGTGAAGAGAGGAAGGGGATTAGAAATTACCTTGCTTTGTTTATTATTAAATAGAATGTTGAGTTTGTTGATTCTTTTGTGCTTCTCGTACTTTTCTCATTTGTCACTTGTTCTGTGTTATTGTAGGGAAGTAGTCGACTCTATGGTCCAGCATTTTAAAGTTCAGATTTTTGGAGAAAGAAGACCTGTCTATGATGGGAAAAGGAGTCTTTACACTGCAGATCCCATTCCTGTCAGCACCACTGGAGTAAGGGCTGCTCAAGATTCTTTAAATAAATTTGTTACTTGTTCTGCATTATATACAATGGATTTGTTCATTATTACCAGACATTAAGTCAAATGCACTTGGTGTGCATTAGGTAATGGACATAGATAATTATTGTTCTTAATTTAACTGGGAATCTTAATTTGTGTCAGAAAATAAATTCATATAAAAGTTCCAAGTTTCAGAAGGGCTCTGGTGGCTGAGAGTCTGCTTTGTGGGCACTTAGTTATTTTAAACATGGTGTTATGAGCTTTGGTTTATTCTCTCTTTTTTCAGTTTTTCACTGTTTTGCTAGTGACCAAATTTATTAATTGAAAAGAAGATTTATTTAAAGAAGTCTGGTTTGATTGGTTAACTTATGAAATTAACAGTATGGTTGCTAAACAATTGGTACCTTTTTTAATTCATTGAGTGACATTTTCAAATTTGCTGATATGGTGAATGATCTTGAATTTGTCTCACATGTAAAAGGTCTAAGATTATAGCATTTTGCATGCTCAGCCCTTTTAAATTCTACCTCTCTATACTAGATTTTCTTAGAGACTTGCAGTCAGAACAGCACTCTCCTATGAAAATTTAAGACATGTCTCACATTTAGCTATTCTGGATAGCCATTAGGGACAAGAAAAATGCCTTTTTGTCCACAAACTAAACAGGGACAGTTCCTGATGATACAAAAACCTGCAAAGTTCTTTGGTCATCTGCCAGAAATCAATGTTCTGTCTCACCATAGAACATAGAACAGTACAGCACAGTACAAGCCCTTCGGCCCACGATGTTGTGCTGAATTTTTATCCTAAACCTAAGGTCTATCTAACCTCGACCCCTACCTTAGCAGAATAGTGACCATCCACAAAACAGTGGCACAAACATGACTGGGACAATGAACAAGTGATGATAAGCATCCACCTACACTGAAAAATATGAAACCCCACGCTATTGGCACCAAGCTAATCCACGCCTCCACTGTCTAACCAGCCCCTAAGAGTCCACGGTGCTTTGGTAACAGACACTTTATACTTTATTTTTTATTCATTAACGGGATGAGAGCTTTGCTGGCTAGGCAGCATTTATTGCCCATCCCTAACTCCACAGAGGGCAGTTCAGAGTCAGCCAGATTGCTGTGGGTCTGGAGTCACATGTAGGCCAGACCAGGTAAGGATGACAGTTTCCATCCCTAAAGGACATTAGTGAACCAGATGGGTTTTTACGACAATTGGCAATGGATTCTTGGTCATCATTAGATTCTTAATTCCAGATATTTTTATTGAATTCAAATTCCACCGTCTGCTTTGGTGGGATTCAAACCCGAGTCCCCAGAACGTTTTCTGGGCTCTGGATTAACAGTCAAGCAATAATACCGCTAGGCCATTGCCTCCCCACAATGCATGTTGTTACATGCATGTTGTAGCCTGAAGCTTTGGATTGTAATGGTAAAGGCACCAATTTATTTCCTTTTGTTATTCACTCGTGGGATATGGACACTGCTGGCTGGACCAGCGTTTATTCCCCATCAGTAGACACCCTTGGTGGTGGTACACTGTTGCTTTGAACCACTGCTGTAGGTAATCCCATGATGCTGTTAGGGAGGGATCTCCAGCATTTTGACCCAGCGAAGCTAGAGGAAGTCAGGATGATGAATGGTTTGGTGGGTGGTGGTTTTGTTCTGACAAGAGATGCCCCCCATTCTTGGCACTTACCATTGCCAGGTTTTGGAAGTATTTACAAATTTCTACTCAACCTGCCTGACCGCGTTATGAACACGCCTTCCTTGGCCATCAAGTTCTGGAATGGGACTTGAACCAGGAACTCTGCATCAGAAACAGGGACACTACCACTTCACTGCAAGACCACCTTACTCTTCATTTACAAAGCTGAAAATGTTATTTCAAATTTCCATCTCACTGAAGAGGCTTCAGGCTAATCTACCTCCAACGACCTGCTCTGTAACCATTTTGACAACTGTTACAAGTTCCTCCACAATAGTCTAAACAATCCATAGTTTTTTTTTCTTTCAACACAAAAGAATAACAGTAATGTTACTTTAATTCCTTTAATGTTACTTTTAAAATTCAGAATTTGCTTCAGTGCACAGTCCATTTTTTTAAAAAACTGCACGTATTATTTATTATAGAAGAAGGCCTACATACTGTACCTCTTATTTTGCTGCTCCTCACATAGTTTGTTGGAACAGGGTTATCAGTGTACTTCTGTAAATTCCATCAAAATAGATAACTTATTCATGAAATAGCTGTAAATCCTTGAAATTCAATTTCGGAATTGTGGAGGGGAATGAGCTTTGGTGTATCATTTGGCACTCCTGTTTCTTGTCCCCGTGCTGCTCCCTACAATCCCATCTGAAAGCACAGAATTTGCTTTCATATGTACGCTGACAATCCCCAGTGGTACCTTTTATCTCTCTCAACTCATCCGCTGTCGCTAAGTGATCAGCTGCTTATTTGACATCCTGTCCTGAATGTGCAGAAACTTCCTCCAGTTAAATATTGGGAATTGTTTTCTGCCTTCTAATTCTGAATTTGTTCCCTAGCTACTGACTGTCTTTCTCACTCTTAATAATCTGAGACTAAAACAGGCCATTCACAAATTTGGTATAACAATAGACACCCCAAGATGAACTCCTGACTTCATTCACTCCACCTGGCTCTTACTACCGCCATAACGTGGACTAATTTTCCCCCATCTTGGCTGATCTACGTCAGAAGCCCTCGTGTCTTTTGTTGGCTGAACCATTCCATGGCTGGCCTAGCATATTTTACCCTTTATTATCATTAACTTTTTTTTTAATCATCCTGTTCAGAGATATTATTACACACCTGTGGAGCAAGTGGGACTTGAACCTGGGCATCCTAGTCCAGAGGTAGGGGCCCTACCACTGCGCCACAAGAAAACCCCTTATTCTGCCCTCTAAACTTTGAAGTCAACAAAAGGGGCTGCCCGTACCTTAACTCACACCAAATTTTGTTTCTATATGATCCGTGTGTTTCTTGATTTACAATGGCTCCTTGATCCAACTAACACTTCATTTTAAAATTTTTGTTCATGTTTTGTTCTGTAGCCATACCCTTCTGAGTTATTTGCACTATTCTACTTCTGAAATCTTGAGCGTTCCCAACTTAAATTGTTCACTTTTTGTGCACCTTCATTTGCCAGGGCCCTACGCTCTAGAATGCCATCTCTCCATTGCTTTGCTCTGCCTTTTTACCTGGATACCTCCTTAAAGCCTACTTAGTTAACCAAGCTTTTGTCATCTAAACTAACGTTTATTTAGGTGGCTTGTTGTCATATTTGTTTTAAAATGTTTCTTTCAAGCATTTTGGGGCATTTATTGCTTAAAGGCTCCAAAACAGTGTCCAAGTTCAGAGTACTTTTACTTGAGTCTGGATTAACTGTCAGAGATGTTAACAAGTGCCCGGCACTAATTACACCCGCTGGCACTAAAAGTTAACTATTGCAAATATGGTGTCTTGGACCTTCAGGTTTTATTTGTTACTGAATATTTTAGAAGTACAAAATTAATATTGTTTTCAATTTCTTTCTTTTACCTCTTCTAATCCTTTTATTTTCCATACTTTATTTAGTATTATATTGATCCAGCCTGATTTACACATTTCCCCCTTGTGCTGTCATTTCAATCTGGTTAAGTATATACATAATTGCCTTATTCAGTCAGGCATCAGATGCTATTTTCCTCACATTCTGAATATTTCCAGCAACTCATAATTCCAATGCTTTTAGAATTTAAATATGCAGGGGCTAGTCTGAAAAGAGTTAAAATTACACAAAATTAGTTTTAAAAAGTTATCCATTCTCTAGCAAAGTTATAGACAGAATCACCATATAATGCAGGTCCTCACTGCATTTCAGTTATTCCTTGGTGTTCAGCACAGACTTATCTGTGAAACAGATTTGAATTAGTGAAGGTTTAATAAGTCTTGTGTACTTTTCTACTTCTCTACATTTTTTTAAATTTTGTGAATTTTACAGTGACAAGTACTTCTGGGTCATTTACAGCACAGATAGTTACAATGTGTTTTTGTCCCCAGTTGACTAGAGCATCCCTACTGCATCAATACAATTTTTCCCACCATATGAGATTTGCTGACTAGTACCTAAGGGACCCACAGAACACTTGCAGTTGTTGCGAAGTTGGGTAGAGTATTTGATGTTTGTAAAATGATAGGGTGGGGGGAGGAGGAGTGTGTGGTCCCTTCAAAAGATGATGTGTTTTTTAGGCTTGAAGATTTAAAAAGAAGTCTGTAGGCAGCAGCAGATGCAGCGTTCTTAAAATTAAAACATTGTATCAAAATGCTATACTGTTGGCAGGCAATGCAGCATTTTTGCCAAGACAACAGATTTTTGAATTTAGCTAATTAATTTAAACCAGGCCCTAGATACCAAAATCCAATTAAATTTAAATCTGATGGTTTAGGTCATCAGGGGTATAAAAGAAGAGGGCATTTGAAAATCTGTGTGAACGTGAACTGCCATCTGAAGAGAATCTCTGGCTCTCACAGAAATCTCTAAGCTCTCAGAGTAAGCACCATCTAAATAAAGGTACAATGGCGCTCTTAGTTAATATTCCTGTCACAAGAATTGAAAACAGTGGAGAAGGCAAAGAATATTTCAGAAGACTTATCCTGGCCATAACTTCAAAAGACTAAGTTTTAACTTTTTTTTTTTTTTCTTATTACTTTGGTTTATATATGTGGGATTTGTATCTACTGGAACAGCATATGATTAGAATTTTGTTTTATTTGGGAATAGTTAGTATGGGGGGGGGAAGGGGGGGAGTGTTCAGTTTGTTAGTGGTTCTGTTAATTTGTGCTCTGTTAAATAAATAAATTGTTATTTGTTGCTTTTAAAGTGAGTATCAGGAATTTCTTTCATTTAACCACTCCTTTATAACAGGTTGGGGGTGAGAGGCAGGTTATACCACTTTTCACACTTCCTTTAACAGATTACGAGGCAAGGCGAGCTTCTCTGGGTGTTTTAGTTTTAATCAGCAGAGAGGTGTCGACCACCCCTCCATAACACAATCAAGTTTAGTCTTAGTCCGCTCCATAATTTCTTCCACTCCTCCCGTCGCTCCCACGCAATCCCCATTATTCCTCCAGCAAGGTCACCTTACTAATGGACTTCCCTCCCTATTCTTTTCCTCAATCAACATCCCACTGCCACTAATCATTGGCAACCAAACGTGTATCAGAACCTCTGTCTTCCAGGGGCTCCTGCCCTGTTACAATCTCCATTGAGATTAATCCATTCTGTTCCTTGGTTCTTTAAACTATAAATGTTCCTTTGTGGACTTTATAAATGGATGTTGCCAGAAATATATCTGTTTTACAACTCTTCTAAACATGCATCTCTCTTAGTTAAAACTTCTCTTTTTCTCTACACAGTCCCTGTATTTGACTAAATTAGACCTTAACGTAAGAGGAGGTCTTATGTTAAGGTGTAAGAACTTAACTCTTGAGTTTCTGTAAATTTCAAACTGGGCTTCTATCCCCATGGCAGCTAAATCACATGGGCCTGTTTCTGAACACAGTTCAGCATGATTTCACTATCACCCATTCATGGGCATTGTCATTTACTTTAAAAGAAATGCTTTAAGTCATAGCAGTCTCATGAAGTCTTGCATTTGGAACAGCATACTCCAGAGGCAGTCACCTGATCAGTCCACCAACCAAATGCAAGTGCAGATTGAAAACTTGCATATTATTATTATCATGGTAGATTGTTCTAAGTTTTGTGCTGTTGATTGATATGGATTGAGATTGGTCCAGTGTATTTTCACATTAAATCTCTTCAGCCAGCAAAATAGATTGTACCTTTTCTCCCATTGTGTGGGCTGTAATTGAGCTCACATCTCAAGAATTGGGGTGACATTTCAATAATCCATTGCTGTAGAGGCCCATGTATTTTCGACCAGTTTACTGTTGGTAAATGTTTAGCAGTAAACCTAATGTTCTTTAGCAAAGTACATGAAGGTATGTCATAGGTTGATTTGAAACATTTAATTTTGTAGGTGGATTTGGAGGTGACATTACCAGGAGAAGGGAAGGACCGAATTTTCAGAGTGTCAATCAAATTTGTTTCAAGAGTGAGCTGGCATTTGCTGCATGAAGTTCTAACAGGTCGTAGCATGCCAGAGCTGCTGCCCGGGTTGGACCTGGACAAACCACTCAGCACAAATCCTGTACATGCTGTCGATGTTGTCCTCCGACACCTCCCTTCCATGAAGTAAGTATCAACGTGAAATTCTTACTATGCTGTTGACTTTTTGATTGTTGTTTTCAATTTCTTAATCCACCAAGGACAGACATCAAACCCTTTTTTTTTGTTGCGGATGTTAGCTTTCTTTATCCCCCTCTGTGCCTCTGTATATCTTAAGAATATAATTGGTTACAAATATCGTCTTCCTCCGTTTCTGCCAGGGTTGCTGTTTAAGCAGTCAAAGCCATATGTACATGCATATGTCGTATCTTTAAGGTGAGAAGGGAAAGATTTAAAAGGGACCTAAGGGGCAACTTTTTCACACAGAGTGTGGTGCAAGTATGGAATGAGCTGCCAGAGGAAGTGGTGGAGGCTGGTACAATTACAACATTTAAAAGGCATCTGGATGCATATATGAGTAGGAAGGGTTTAGAGGGATATGGGTCAAATACTGGCAAATGGGACTAGATTAATTTAGTTGGACCGAAGGGTCTGTTTCCATGCTGTACATCTCTATGACTCTATGTACCTGGACACTCCTCATATAGGGAAGCATATGTCCAAATCAAGTTCTATCATCAGTGATGGAAGTATGTTGGTAGTACACAACTTTCCTCCATTTTGTTGTACAACTACAAAGTTGGCTACCACATGACCAGGTAGTATACCTAAAATAAACAATAATTTTCATTCATCTTGAGATATTGTACATTTACATCAACATTTGAGACATTGGTAAGATACAGTTAAAATATTCCAGTTATTTTTTAAAAACCATGGAAAATCTGAGAGGGCCTTTCCAATTTCCCACCTTAACTTTTGGGATTTTGTTAATCCCCCATGGAATTATAGAAGACAATCAGAAGTATCTCTAGAATTTTGGAATCCAGCTCATGTAACAGATTTACTTCTGGCAATATCCATTGTGAGTTTACCTCTCTCTGCATTTCCCCAACTGTCTGACCCATAACAAAGTCATGTGGTCTGTGAAGATGAAGAACCTGTAATGGAAATGTAAATGAAAATGCATTGTTGAATTTTGGTTAAAGGACTGTGAATGATCTAGGTTTTTTCATTTTGCAACATATTTTTCCTATGTCATCAGCCAGGTCAGTTTTAGTATACACTTACCAAGGTGCCATCCAGATTAGGTATTATGTACTTGATATAGAAGTAACTTTTTAACTGTACTTCAGCCTCAAATGAATCCCTCACTGGATCAACTTGAATACGTAAACTTCCAACATATTGTTTTCATAATGGCATTTTGAAATAAATCTGCTATCTGAATTAGCTCACAGTTCTTTTTTATCATATACTGGATCCATAAGAACTGGATTAAACTGTGGGAACTTGAAGAACTTCACAACCAATACAAAGAAAACTTAATTCCCTCAGAATGGGTTAGATTGCACCCACCATACACTATTCTTTCCATTTTGGTAGTATCTGTTGAAGGCAGTTAGGGTTTAACTTGACAACTTTCTTTTACAATTACATATTATTCTGTGATTGTTGGCTTTGTCTAGAAGATAAATTGAAAACATAGGAACAATTCTGTTTTACGCATTTGAAGGAATAGGTTTCTTGAGCATTACTATTATGTACTATTTTGTGACTGTTGACTTTGACTAGAAAACAAATTGTTAACATAAGAAAAATTCTGTTTTACACATTTGGAGGAGTAGGTTGCTTAGCCTTATGTGAGGAATCTCAACTTTATGGCATTATCCACAATAACCAAGCAATATGTGAAGGTAAATGAAAAGTCACCATATTCTTACCAGACCATAGGGTTGCCCTCTCATCAGAGAGATTTAACCCTAAGGGTCACCAGATGTCAGGGAGAGGTTGAGAAGGAGTGTCCTTCATGAAAGCCTCAACCAGTGTGGGAAGTAAACCCATGCTGTTGTCATCACTCTGTATTGCAAACCAGCTGTCCAGCTAATTAAGCTAATTACCCCCATTGTGAAGAATCTTACTTCAAAGAATCATGTCTGTCTGGGATGTTCTTCAGAACCAAATGGACCAAATTTCAGTTTAATTATGTAATTGAAAGCCATATATATTTGAATTCTATACCAATATTTAAAATACAAATAATGCAGACTTTATAAAGGGACAGTTTGCATTTAAACTGTGACCAAATGGAGATTGAATTGTGCAGTTCATTAGTGCAGCAAACTATTTTTACATCTGATACTTGGTTCAAATTCACTTTAGACGAAAAAATTACATAGCTGCTTGATATTAAGATTCAATTATGGTTTGAAAACTGCCCTACTTTGTCTTTGAGTGGCAAATTTAAACAAGATGAGGAGAGATTGTGGCACAGTGGTAATGTCACTGGACCAGTAATCCAGAGCCCCAAGATAATCCTCTGGTTTGAACCCCACCACAATAGCCATGACAGCTGTTAAAATTTAGACTGGATGAATAGGTTTGAAGTATAAATCTAGTCTGAAGTATTGGTGTCTATTACAACTGTCATTGTTATAAAACCCATGCAGTTCACTACTTTCCTTTTCGAGGTTGTAATCTGCTGCCTTAACTGATCTGCAATCTGATGTCTGACCCACAGCACAAGCAATCCCGATATGGTTGACTCTTAAATGTTTGAAATGTCCTGGCAAACCACTCAAGCAAATAGGGATGGGTGACAAACTGTCACATCCCATGAAAGAATAAAGAAGATCAAGAAACACAGCCAGTGTGGAAAACAGAGATTACAGCCTAATACTGACCTCTTATCCCTTAACCTAGACTTGGTCTTTTTGTTCAGGAATTGAGCAAAGAGCAATTGAAACTGTTTCTGATTTATTTTTTGAAGTACATGCTACTGCTAGTTCCTTGGACTGAATATGTGCTGCATATTGGGTATAAGCTGAGGCTCTTTACAAATAGATAGGTAAATTAACAGTATTAATTCCAACAGAGTACTTGGTGTTCTCTTCAATGTCAAAGCAACAGGCACATTTCAACCTCATCGTCTTTGAACATACAATTGATTCTTGAAATAATCATCTACTTCCTATATGGTGAAACATGACAATAGAACCACTGTTTCAATTTCCTTTTCCTGCTGACTGATTCATTCAGTGAAAATACAGTCAACTGTAACTCTTGATCAAATGCTTCTATCTGCATTTTTACCACCAAAGAGTCTACAACAAATCAGTGGCTGCTCCCCAACCATCCCCAAAATGTCTGCTCCACAATTTCACCCAGACACAGCTGCCAATCAAATCGCTTCTCTTGGATAGTCTATCTAGAACATTTGGAATTAGATAAGACGGTCTGATGCATTGATCTTTGCCATGTTATCTGTGAGACAGATCCATGAGAGTGTGTTGTATAGTGCCATTCATCTTGTTCCAAACCTATGCATATATTTACCTTTTTTCTAAGACAAGTATTAGCTAATCTATAATGTAAATTCTACGCAGCCTTCAAAAATCCATCACCAGTATGCACCTAATTATGTTTTTGTGTTGTGGTTAGCAATAAAGAAAACTGTAGTTAACCAAGTCAAACAAATTGTTAGTTTAATCCTCTCTGAATTGCTCATAATTCTTCACATGGAGCAAATCATTTTGAAATCTACTCTGTTTGCATGGTTGCAGAGATTGTTAGAACAGCAGTGAAATGAATGTTCAGGTGTTTTCATGGTATTTGAGATGGAAATTTTGGCTATTGGTCATATGTATTTACCCTAAAAAAGTAAGAATTTTCTTAAACTTCCATTATTGAGCATTTGGGACTTCATTCATTCTTGCAAGGCCTCCTACACAATTTAATCTCCTGACTCTAGAAGTAGAATCGCTTCGAGAGTGGTGTATAGGACCATAGGCATGTGGTCTTAATACGTGGTCTGTATTTTGTTGCAGGTACACCCCTGTTGGCCGCTCTTTCTTCTCTGCACCCGAAGGTTATGACCATCCTTTAGGTGGAGGTAGAGAAGTCTGGTTTGGTTTCCATCAATCTGTCAGACCAGCCATGTGGAAAATGATGCTGAACATAGATGGTGAGTTCATTAACTTCAGCTTAATCATACTCACTCTGGTTTTCCCATTTGTGTTCAAATTTAATTAATGAGTCATAGTGTTCACAGAGAGTTGAATAATTGCTCTAACAGACTGTGCTGTGGTAAGGTGCAATAATAGTTCCTGCTACTCCAGGGAAGGCTGAAATTGAGGCTTCATGGCAACACCAAGAAGGTTCTGAGGGGGAAAGAGAGAAGATAAAATGCTATTGCAACAGCCACACATCACTGTTCCAGTTGTTATTAAGTAGATTCTGATCTTGCAAAACTGCGTTTGGAGCCTTGGTCGAAAGAAGTAATCTCGTGTCAAACTGTCAATATTGGCTTTGTCAATTCCTGAATTGCTTTTTCCTGGATTACCTCCAATTCTCTTGCCTCCATAAATTTTACTTCTAAATTTGTGTTGCTTGTATCTCATCATGTATCATGTCTTCGTCGTTCATCATCTCTATACTCCCTAAATGAGATTGGCAAGCTTTCCCCAAAACACGATTTTAATGTTTTCATCCTTGTGTGAATTCCCTTTGTGGCCTTGCCTCTCCCTCCTTCTCAAATCTTTTCTAGTGCTACAAGAGGAGATGGTGGCATAGTGGTAATGTAGTACAGGGTAGTGGTGTATCTGGTATGTAGTAATGTAGTGGTAATAGGCTAGTAATCCACAGCTTCAAGGTAAAATTCTGGGGATAAAAGCAAAATACTATGGATGCTGGAAATCTGTAACAGATACAGAGAATGCTGGAGGAAATTGGGTCTGGCAGCATTTGTGGAGAAAGAAACAGAGTTAACTTTTCAAGTCAGAAATAACATCTGAAGAATTTTTCTTTAATATTCTAGAGTATGGTTTGAATCCCATGATGGCAGATGGTGAAATATGAATCAAGAAGCTACTGTATTATAAAGCTACTTAGGTGACCATTTAACCATTTCTGATTGTCATAAAAACTCATCTAGTTCACTGCCCTTTGCGGAAGGAAATCTGCCATTCTTGCCTGGCCTGGCGTACATTTGACTGCAGACCTATACCAATATGACGTAATCTTAACTGCCCTCTGAAATGATCTAGTAAGCCATTCAGTCATATCAGGCTGTCATGAAATCTAAGATATAATTATGTGAAAATAGCAGTGGCTCAGGCACCACTATTACCTATCTGGGGCAGAAACAAAGCAATGAGGGCAAGTGGTATCGAGTCAGGTGGGAGTTGCCCTGAAAGTGCTCAACATTGATGCCAGACCCCATGAAGTCATGTGGCAGTAGGTCAAACATGGGCAAAGAAACCTCTGCCAACAACCCCTGCTCCCACCACCCCCCCCCCCCCAATGAACTGGTACTCCTCCATCATGAACATTATTTGGAGGAAACACTGAAAGTGGAAAAGGCACAAAACGTTCTGTTGGTAGGCTACTTCAATGACCATCAACAAGGGTGGCTGAAGAGCAGCACAACTGACCAAGCTAGCTGTCTCCTAAAGAATATTGTTGCTAGACTGGGTCTGGCAGGTGTTGAAGAAGTCAACAAGAAAGAACCACTGCTTTCTCAAGGACAAAAAGGGCTGGGTACTAAACAATGGCCTCATCAGTAATGGCAATTTCCCAGGAAAGAATATTAAACAGGAATATGTAGTTAAGACCACAATCAGATCTACCATGATCTTAATGAGTGGCAGAGTGACCACAAATGCTAAATGGCCCTGGTTATGTTCTTATTACTTACTATTTTCTCATGTTCTTGATTAAGAAAGAGTGAAATGTTTGCTCTTAATTTCCTGAGAGTTAAGAAATTAAATTTGTTTGAATATAGTGAAAAACAATAGTTCATCAAATGAAAGTATTATTTTCTAACCGATGTGTGGTCGAGAAGCGCAGGCAATGTTTGATAATTAAAAGTATAGTAGCTACTGTAACTGCTAGGTTTATCAAGGCTTTTGTTCTTCAACTGGGTACTTTCTTTTTTTCTGATGAAGAAAAGTGCAAAATTAAAGTTCTGACAATTTCTGCAATTAGCATTTGGCGCTATTAAGTAGCTTTGATTAAACTGATTTTCAAAATTTTAACTCCGATGTATTGCTTAAAATTTTTGAGCACACTTACTACAGTACTCACTACATTTTGAATTATAAATAGTGTGAGGAAGTGAAATACGTTGTGGAAGAGCTTAGGCATGTACCTGTGCGTTCAGACCCTGCTAATGGTGAGCATTTTAATCCTCATCTTGTCTTCATGTTGAGGCATGGTGGTATGCAGATTCAAATAATTTAGCATTAATAGGATTATTGGCTTGAAATATGGAGAACTTCAAGTTAATGTAATTTGAGCAGAGAGATGAAAGCAATTTTTCTTGTATATGGTCAGTCCAAATCATATTTTAGTATCCAGCCCCATTACCAATTTGAAGAATCAAGCATATAGTCTATTTTTAGAGTTTAGACATTTCTTTATCAACCTGTTAGAGATGTTATTACACACTTCTGGAGCAGGTGGGATTTGAACCTGGGCTTTTGGGCTCAAAGGTACGGGCACTACCACTGTACCACTAGAGCACCAAGATTTGCAGTTTCAGAATGCGTTGGAAATTTGTTGCTGCAAGTGACATGAAAAATTTAATCCTCAATTTGTGCTAATGAGTCTCATGAATTTTGAAAGGGATTTATTCCCTGCCTTTTTTTTAGTTTTATCTACACTATTAGTGGTGACATCTATCTATGAAGTAATGGAGCAAAGTCAGGTCAAGATCCCATCCTCCTACTCTGTCATTAGCACAGTAATGGAAAAGGTCGTTGATAGTGATATTAAGTGGTGATCTGGAGCATGGGGCCCCAGATCTCATTACAGCCTTGGTCTTAACAGGAGCAAAAGAGCTGAATTTCAGAGGTCCTCAAGGTTTCCCTGTTAAAATTCAAGTCAACAGAAATCGGGAAACTATCCACCAAGAACAAAGGTGGTGGTTATGGTTGCTGGAGATAACCTTCTCCGTGTAGGCTGTAGTTTCTCGAGCCCTATGCTCAATCATCTTAACTGCTTCATCAATCATCTTTCCTCCACCATGAGGTCAGAAGTGGGAGTATGATGGATGATTGCACTGTAAGTTGTTCAATTTGAAACTGTTCAGATAAAACGATTGTGTTGGCACGCAGTGTTAAAAATTTTTATCTTTTCATGGTCAGCTTTGCTGGCAAGTCCAGCTTTTGTTGCCCATCCCTAATTGCAATAGAACTGAGTGGCTAGCTAATCACTTTAAACAGCAGTTAGACCCATTGCTGTGGGTCTGGTGTCACATTTAGGCAAGGCTAGATATAGATGACAGATTTCCTTCCCAAAAGAGTATGAGTGAAACAGATGAATTTTTACAATAATCAATAATAATTTTATGGTCACCATTGCTGAGACTAACATTGAATTCCAGATTTATTAATTGAATTCAAACTGCCAGTGTCCCTGGAGCATTGTCCTGCTTCTTTGGATTACTAGTCCTGTGACATTATCACAGCATCACCACATTTATGTATTTAAATTTAGAATGAAATTGACAGTCATGTGACCTGCACTGAAACCATCTTGACAACAGGTTTGGATGATAGAACTATTAAATATTTAAAAGAATGCATAAATTGTTTTACTGGGAGGATGGTGTAAGATATTTGTATTTGAAGATAATAAAGTTCCACAAGAGTCCTAAAAATGTCAAATTGTTAAAAGATTAATCTTGAATTGTTCAATTGATTCCAGGGTAGGGGCCTGTAGAATAGCTTGTCAACATTTCTATCTGGATATGAGTCATATGTGATTCACTTTGCCATGTGAATGGTGCAGGGGAAGCCATTGTACAGGTCAGGTTACAGGCTCCCCTAAATATACCTGAGTTATCACTGGTGATTTTTGTCTGTCAGGATTCAGGAGAGGGAGGACAGCTTAGGCTGTAAGGTGCTATGGATCCCTGGACAGGAACACCAGTGGGAGCCTATGCTCAGAGTGGAAAGACAAAATTTGGGATGGATTAAACTGAGTCTTGAAGATTTGCCTAGCTTTTGCTATCGAATTAAAAGTTTCCAGCCTGGGAAAAGAAAAGATCTGAAGTAAGCCATCAAAAGCTGAGGATTATTTTTGATTCTGGGATAATTGAACATCCATCCTTTTTAAATGGCAGTATGATTTATACCTCCAAAGCGGACTTTGCCAGTTGTATTAAAAGGAAATGGAGCGAAGTTTGGTTTTGGGATTTAAAGTACAAGTTGCCTCCCAAAAATACTGTTCAGCTAATAGTGATTTTAGTCTAATTTTACAGTAAAATTCTTTAAAACGTGAAAACTTGTCATGTTATCCTTTCCACGATTAACTGGAAGCTTGAATTTCTTTTTTTAAAAAGTTATTGGTCTCTTTGGGGATCATAACAGCAGCAAGAACTGTACAGCATTCAGTCTTGGGCTGATAAGTGACAAGTAACATTCACGCCACACAAGTGTCAGGTAGTAATCATCTCTAACAAGAGTGTCTAACTGCCTCCACTTGACTTGAAGTGGGATTATACCGAATCCCCCAACAGCAAGGGGAGGGGCAGAGGTCACCATTAACAAAATTAAGATATTTAAGTCGACTGGCCAAATAAATACTTAGTGACAGTGCTGTTCTGCTGTAGTCAATATTAGGACCAGCATTCTTTTCACCAAGTGTAAATGGTTTGGATTTTGGAATACAGAATAAAATTTCAAAATCTGATGGTATCAAACTTGGAGGGGAGTGAATATTGAGGATGATTTGAATTGCCTCAATAGGACAAAGCCAGGCAATTAAGTGACAGATGAAATTTAATTCAGAAGGAATAGGGAGAGACAATATAGACTTAATGGCACAGTTCTAAAATGTGCCAGTACAAACAGACCTGGGAGTGCATGTGCATTATTTTGTGAACATAACGAGGCATATTGAGAGAGTAATCAAGTAACAAAGCATGTCAGATCTTGACCTTCATAAATCGAGATTTTAAAG